TTCTGTAGATTCTTTCAATGTATTAAAAAGTGGGTCAGCAAGTAAATTCCCTACTAAGTACATACCCATCAAATGTTTGCTCAAAACAGTGACCAGTTACCTTTGAGAGTTGCATATTCAATTTGCTGTTTGATTTTGTCTTCTTCAACGATGTAGGCTTTTGTCTGCATCAAGAGCAACTGCCTTGGTCTTGGTTTGAAACCATTTCTGTTGTATTTAATGACGGGAACACCATACTGTAGGCAGATAAGCACAGATAGAATCAAATACTCACGACCATTATCTGGTTTCTGCTTGTGACAAATTACCTGGAACTCTTCCATGTCACTCTCTTTGCCGGTAGGTGACAGTGGAGGAGTGATGATAATCTAATGATAATCTGCAATATTTTCATCAATAATAGCCTGGGAAATCTCCCCTTGTGCAATGGTTGGTGAATGATCCGCTCAATATCAAACCGAGCCATAAAGGCCCAATGGCTCCTCAGTTTGATCGTTGGTTGATACTGTCCAAACTGAACTCAGCAACAGCGCAGCAATTAGCTTCAATCAGATTCGGAAAGCCATCGGATTCAGAGAATCGAAAACAAAGTTGCTGGAAACGCCCTGCAGGTCTGGTCTGTCGGCTAAGTCATGGGAGCGGTTGCTGTAGTTTATTGAGAAGTGCGTTTGCACTTTGTCCATGTACAAGCAGAGGGAGTTTGGAAAGGGAATAAAGGAACCCATATTTTACCAACAAGCGCAGCTACTCAGGTTTTGAACTCATCTTCATTTAATCAGCTCAAGAACATCACAGCTGCTGGAAGAGCAACTGTCTTTCAATATTAGCAGCTACCTTCTGGAGGCGAGAGGGAACCATCTGAGTTAGAACAGCATGTACCCAATAATGCAGTATATTTAGGGATTCTTTTCCTGAAGGATAATCTCCAGCTGCTGTGTAATCCCACTTCATGCATTGCTGAAATCTGGCAAATCAATGTGCTTATAACCCTTTAAACCTGGCAGCCCAGAATATACAGCACTTCATGCCATTTAACTGAGTGCCCAGAATGGCAGTGCCATGTGGGGAACCTTCCTTCATAATGTTGTCATTTTACTCCAAGGTGTGGGCAGTCAGCTGATTGAAATAACATAGATTCATCTTACAGCAGCCGTGAATACAATTTTAACTTTTAGAATGTCCAGCTAAAATCCAAGGAAATGTATTTCACAAAAGGATGCACAGTGATGGAAATCACGGAGACAATTTTAACCGAACCTGCTGTGATACAGATGGGGTCAGATGCAATACTGATTTTACAATCTGTTTGATTATTGAAGGGATCATGCAGAATGACCTGGGTGTCACATGGTATTTCCGCAAGATTTCTGTCAGTGAGATAAGTTAAAATTAATCTGAGTGTCTGCAACATCTCATCATCACGACACAGCTCATAAGTTACCCAGTAAGTTTGGGACCGCTCTCTGGTATCGAACTCAAAGTCACTGCCTCTTTAATTCTATCTCTCAGATTCCCCTTGAAATAGTGACAACACTTGCCAGGCCCCTTTAACTAGGGGAGGCTGTTGTGCTGCAGTTACGACAAAGTTCTGGCTAACCAGGAGATGTCCCCCGCTTAGCGCTGCCTGGGTCTATCAGAAGGATTTACAGGTTGATAACCAACCTGTTGATTGCTTTATCAACGCACCTTCTGTGGCCACCAAGTCCTGAAGTGGAACTCAAACCTTTGGGCCCAGAGGCAGGGACCCCACCCAGTGAACCATGAGAGCTCCGACTATCTCTGTAACGGTCTGACCCGCAGATGGGGTCTGACTGAATGGAATTTGGAATTTTACCTGGAGTCGCTCATGTCGGATCAGCTGAAACGCCTTCGGGTTGATGTCCTGTTCACCTGAGGATGGAAACACAATGTTACAATGTGAAGGAGCGGTGTTACGGAGAAGGACCCTCAGAATTTGTTGCCCAGAAGAAATGCAGTGTGTACTTACGAAGTCTGCTGTCACTAAAGGGCTTGGTGACACTCTGCTGGTAGCCCTCTTTCTTTCCTTTAAACAGTGCACTGGCCACAACCTTTTGCTGCATCTGTGCGATAAAAGTTGTCAAGTTAGAAAATGAAGGTTGTGCCAATTCTTAGATGAGGTACCTTCTGATACCTCACTATACAGCCTTTTTGTGCGCACCATAGTGAGTACCATTGATCAATGTGACAGGAGAGGGAACCAGAGGCAAGCTCGATCCTGCCCTCACCCACATTTTGCAAGCAACATGCATCTCTTGGCTGTGGCAAGCATCAAACATGGCTGAGATGCTGCCCACGCAGTCCAATAGCCTGTCACTGCACCATCTATATTCATGTCTGCTCAGTGTGGGATATGAAATGACAGTCACTCTCCTGGTACAGGGGTGGGGGGTGGTGCGGGGAACAAAAACAAGGAGGAGCACATTATTCCAATTTGAACATTATTCCCATTTGCCAATTATAAATGGCGAACCACCTGGCAAACGAAACAGACAGTTTCTGTCTGTTGCAGACAGCAGTAATTCAGCTTTTGGACTTCATGTCAATTTCAGAAACCATCAGTAATCCAACACACATTATCAAAGCCAAAGACAACAGAATAGTTTCAATAAAGACAGGTTGGCGAAGTGTCATGGTTACTGAGCACCTTATTCCATCAGAACTAGTTCCTTGCCTGGGGATAAGGGCTGAGGAAGTGTGGCTCACACACAGACAAAACCACTCTACCTGCTGAGATGGTACTTTACTGTGAATTGTCCACCTATCACTAACTGCGTATGGGCATACAAACAAGAAACAAGAATAGTCCACTCAGCCCTTCAAAACTACTCTGCCATTCAATAAGATCATGGCTGATCTGATTTTAACCTCAACCCTACACTGTAGAGCTAGGAGTGAAGAATTAGAGTGTGGTCCCACCAGACTGCTCTTTCATACAGCAAGTAGAGGCACACAGGGCTGAGTAAACTCATTCTCTGCTACAAGCCTTTAGAGCTGAGATGTTCCCTTTCTCAGGCTATACGTGAGAGTGGGCATGTTAGCTGTTGACTAACTCACTACCCTCCACCACTGAGAAACCTTGCTTTATTCGGCGCCAATCACTTTGCTTCCGAGTCAACCGATGAGCTTGTTGGCAAATTGCAGGCTGTATCTAAGCCTCATCCTGGCCAATCAGATGCCAGCAGCTCTTGAGTCTGAAAGACCATTGATTGAGGCCTAGTCTCCAGGGGATCCAATGGTGGAGATGCAGAACATTTCCTTTTGCTTCTCCTGGGGTGAAGGACACTGGAAGAGGGAGGTCAGGGCGGTGCCAGAGGGAAGTGGGGTGACTTTCAGAGGCCACGCCCCCCTATCTGCACTTCCAACTGCCCCCAGGTTGGGTCAAATGGAGGCCCCTCACCACCCCAAAGAACCAGGCATTTTGCCCTGGTTACCCAGTCGGGAAAGAGGGCAGTCTCCTCACCAGCTGGGAAGACAGGTAATCAGGGAGTTGGCAAGGTGAGACACTTAGGTGGCCATTCATTGATTCCTTAAAGGCGATGTGAGAAAATCTCCACTCTCACCCATCACTTAAAGGGTGAGAAGTCAAAATGAGGTTAAGCAAGTCTCCAGGGCCAACTCACCCAACTATTTCCCCTTCTCGCTGCCTCCAGGGGAGGGGGAGGGGGCTATGTGATTGCACTCTGAGATTTTAATTTGTACATGTCCAGAAATGGGGGTCTAAAAGGCAAAATTACCTGCAGCTTGCGTTGGGCGGAGATTCCTTTGCAGTATTTCCGAACCAAAGTCCACGTGTGCAGTTTCCGCAGCAGTTCTGAGGTCTGTCAGAACAGAAAGTTTAGTAAATATACCTTCCTTTTGGTGGCAACAACTGTATCCTGTCACTTGTCACTTTTACTGCTTTCTGTGGTAAGACTCATCAAGTTAGATGGACAATCTCTTTCTAGACTTCCCCAGTGAAGTTCTTCAATTGACCACTCGGCGGCAAAACTCAACAGTCCCATTAAATCACTCTCCATTGAATATCTCTCCCTGTCTTTGCAACAGCAAGGATGAAAACTCAATACAGTTCTCTACAACATTCCCTACAAAATGTTTTTAGAGGTAATTCCTTTACGTGCATGGCCCACTTTGACTCTTCTTTGCATAGCCTAGGTCTACATTGCTGATTGGGATCACAGCTCGCCAACTCTTTACCCATTCCCACGTAATGTCCAGAGATTACAGGTTTCATCTCTGGGACATTGCTGAGAAAAATTAAGAAAGGAAAGCATGTGCCCCTTTCATTTTCTTTAAACACTTCGGTTTATGAAGGTATTTGGAGAGGGAGTAAGGGGCTGTTTGAATCTGTGTGAGGTGGGGTAAGATGATCAGATGAAAACTCCAGGAATATCTCCAATTAGAGTTGACAACCCTGGGGCTCAGCACTGTAAACAATTCATATCCGTACCCACTACTGAAAAAAGATTCAAATCCATAACCATCACTGAAAAAAGATTCAAATCCGTACCCACTACTGAAAAAAGATTCAAATCC